GGGAACTCATAGAATGAAATAGGGAAGAAGATATTTCTTTTTGAGAATTCCTGCTAAGCCCAGTGACTGAGATGCTCACACTTGTGTTCGTTGTGTATTGTTTCTTCTGGGGATGAATGACATAGAAATATATGGACTCAGTAAAAGAACAAGATTAGTAGAGTTACACCAGGACTAATATTGGCCCAGAGGGTTCCACATAACGTGATGAAACCAGTTGGGAATGGGGATTTAGACAGAGGTAGCCTTTTCTCTTTATGTGCAAAATTGCATAGCTGGATGGGTGGTGTGTGTGTGTGTTTTGTGTGGGCCTCTTCCTCAGAAGCATCAGGTATTAGCTCCCATAGGACTTCAAGCAGTCCTTAATGGACTGATTGAATGTTAATTTAGCATAGGCTAGGTTGTTTGAACTTTAACAGGAGGCAAGTCTTTCCCTGTATTAGCTTTTCTTTTGTCCTCTGTCCTGATAAATGATATTCCACCTACAGCTTCTGAAAATGTGACCCTCTAAGAGAAAGAGGGAGGGAGTCTATTCTGTTCGGCATGTATGTCTTCCTTGTCTCCTCAGGCTCTCAAATCTCCTGTGTGTTGAAAGCAGAGGCAGCTCTAGAAAGCAGCTAATGCCATGTTTTTTCCTTCAAGAGACATCCAAGGAGTAAGAAGCACGTTAATCTCAGCAGAAGGAACCTTCTGTTCTCTGCTTGGTCTTATGCAAGTCCCATTAGTGCTGTCGGCTCCCAGTTTTTACAGGAGGGAAAATGTCCAGTTAGAAAGGGTGGGATGTCACCCAGAAAAATATTGCTTATGTTGCACAAGTGTCTCTACATTCACAAAATAACAGCATTTTCTTTCTTCAAGAGCAAGAAAATACATTTAGCCATTGTTTTGGCTTTTTTGCTCTCCCTGGGCTGCATGAGTCCATGCACAGGTGTTGGGTAAACATAGAGGTTTAAGATGAAGAAATTGACTTGAAATGTAGTTCTCAAACTTGGGTCAAGCCATGACCTCCTTTTCAACCACTTGCCATCAGATCTTCGCTAATGTAACTCAGAAGCCTTTGTGGCAGTTCTCACTGCGTGCTCCACAGGAGGTGCTGTACTGTGGTCTGCAGCCCCTCCTCCTTGGCAAGCTTCAGGGCAGAGTAGTGGAAACTGGTGCGATGATTTACAATATGAAGTTGGCATGCAAGGAAGCTTGACTTGAAGTGACAATATAATCTTGCCTGTCTAATCCTGTCTGTCTCTAGCCTATTGGCAAAGCAGAGGCCACATGCATAATGGCACAAGGGAAAACAAGAGATTTAATGCTTGTCCCAGCTTCCCCGTTCTTAGAGGGCAGTTCCTGATATTTCAGCCCACAGGTCAATACTGCTGTGGTGGGATGTAATAACAACTGTGCCTTGATGCAGACCTGTTTGGCTGTTTACCGTGTGGAGATGATGGACTCCACCATGTTACTGAACACATCTGTGGCAGCACTAGTTGCAGCAAAGCACCCCATAGCTTTGAATGACTAGCTCCCCAGTGCATAGTCCCTACCAGCATTAACTCTTTCACTCTAGGCTTTCCAATAAGACAGCCCTGCACTCTGAGGTCAAGGTGAGTGGGAGACAGGAAATGCCGTGGGCCAAAAATTGGATTTTTATTAGGGCTTTCTGAGCCACCTTTGTGCTGCTTTAGCTGGGTCCTTCTGACAACAGACCTAAGTTTCATCTGTTTATAATAACAACCCTAACGAGTGTCAGCACTAGCATCCATGAACTGTCACATACAGTGTTCTCTCTCAAATTGCTGGCAAAGGCTTAGGACCTCTCTTTTTTTTTTTAATACTGAAGCCAAACAAAATTCTGAGTTAAGTCCCATGTCTCAACTAATTTCCAGCGACTCAATTCGTTAGCTGCCAAATGGGCAGTGTGCCAGTGCCTGATCAGCAAGCCAATTCCTTCTTTGATGGAAAGGATGCTGTGAAGGGGCCTGTGGCTACAGCAAATCCCTTTTGTGAGCAGCTCTGTACATCAGTCTTCAAAATACTAGTCTTTTTTCTTGAATTTGGGCAAGAAACCTCATTTTCTATGTCACTTCTGCTTATCAAGTCTCTGATCAAAATGGGACGTTAAAAGCTAACCTTGGATGGACTGAAGGATGCACTTCAATCAAAGATGAATACCTGTGTCTTCCACAGGAGTCACAGAAAAGAAGAATATGGATGTTTAGATCTTTGTTGTATTCTGCTGTAGAGCAGAGTCTATCTATAAAATGTGCAGTTCTTACAAACTATATCTCAGGGAACCATGTGAGGCCTAATTGATTAATGATCATAAAGCACAACACTTTTTGATGAGAGCTCTTTGGAGATTCACTTAAAAGAACATAGTGAATCATTCCCAGTCCTTAGGAGCAGCCCTACTATAATAAACACAAGTCCTAGCACTCAGGAGCAGCCCTAACATTATATATATATAATATAGTATGCCGCTGTTGTACATAAACACATTATATTATCTCTCTCTGATGGAATGATAATGTATGTTTGTACAGTGTCCACATACACATGCAGACTATATACTTGAGAGCAAGGGCACAGTTTTCAAACCCTTTAAGAGGTTTGTTAGTGGGTGGGGTGCCTGCTCCTATGCAGATAGGCTTTATCCCTTTAGGAGTCCTTAGCCAGTCCAGATAATAGTCCATAATACAAACAAGGCCCCTTGCCCAAAGAGCCAAACAGATGACTAAAGTAAAATCCTTTAGCTTTCCTTTAGAGGACAGAAGAGGGCCTTCTAGCTCTAGTAAACTTCTCCTCTGGGGCTTCCTGGCCACAACTGCTCCTTCCCCAGCTTTAGCTGCCTCCTGTTTGTCCCCTTGGGCCTTTAAACTGCTAGCTAATCACCCGCAGCTGGGCTCCTACCCCAG